CTGACATCTTGCCTCAAGAATTCATTTTGCTCTTGAAGCACCAACATGGAAAGCTGCCAGGAAACAGTAATGCCTTGGATGATTGCTGCAGCGGCACAGTAATTTTGCACATGCTTTCTCCACTGAAAAAAAGCTAGTTTCTCCCCATGTTACAAAAGAAAAAAATATAAATGGCTACCTGATTATCAAACCCAGAAGAGTACAGTTACATTGGCCGGCCCAGAGCCTTGGGCCTATTCAAAAGCACTCTCAGGTGCTAGACAAGCAGGGAAGTTCTGACACCACCATGTTGGTTTCTGGCCAACCACTTGGATATTTTCTGGTTTGAATACTCTTCTGTACTACCTATGGACAGACCAACAGACTTGAATTCAATCCCGTGGCAAAGAATCTCCCTGAACTTCCTTCATTCCACAGAAACCATTGATCGTTGTCTATTCTAGCCAAACCTACATCCACTTTCAGAGCCAGCAAGTCCTTTGTACCGTTTTCTGAAACCTGTAATAGACCCTGAGTTGGAGCACGAGTCTCTTTACCTTTTTGCCTAGGAATTCCTCACTCTTGTCACTCTTTTAGCTCAGCTCTAAGATTACCCAGGGTTGATTTATTCCTAATGGTCCTTTGGTAGCATGATCCTCCACTCTACTCTTGCATTTTGTCTATGTTTCCAGTCTATTTCTTCCTCTGAAACACCTTGTTCCTCACTGGTCTAGAGAGATCCGTTTGCCACGTACACATAGAAAGGTTTAACTCCCCCCCCCCCAATAAAACATCCACTGCATTCAAAGCTGGGCTCCATACACAACGTGGCACAGTCCATGAGCACTTAACTTCCATTTCTGGTGCCATGAAGAGGATTGTGACCTCTGTGTCAGTTGTCAACTTTGAACTGCACTGCACTGGTCCAGCAAGGAGCCTAGGGCTTTGGGAAGCTGCTACCAGGAATCTGCAGTCACATGCAACTGCTCTGACCAACTTCTTAAAAATTCTATTTTTGAATAGCCTTCTGGTGGCTGTGTGGTAACAAACAAGTCTCAGGGAATCATGGATCCAGCTCTTTCTGGATATATGGGCCGTAAGACTAACTTCAGATAATTTGGCGTGCACAAGTACTTATGCAGCTTCTGGTGGAACTAAAAACAGGACGCCTACAGATAGCCAGGGCCCATACTATTTTTCCAGCTTTTTGTAAGCTACCAGGAAGTGAAGTCCTTTGCATTCATTTCACTTTGAAACAGGAAATTATAGCCTTGCTTTGTTATTCTGGTTTTAAAGATCCATTTCAGTCAGTGCCCAGACTGGATTAGGAACTGAGACTGCCACTGCCCTGAGGATGGGTGGCAGGACCTCCCTCAATCATCTTGGACAGCTGAACCAGCAATTCTATAAGGGTTCTTATTGGGGAGGGAAGGCCCCTGGGAACGGAGATGTGCAGGATGTCAATCCTACTTCTCTAGCAGGTTTCCAAAGGGGGGTCTGGGGACTTCTCCTAACCTGCATGCTCGACCTTGCAAAGTTCCTCAAGGGTACACTTTGAAGCCAGGGGCTGCGCTGTCCTCCTCTACTGGTGAAACTCAGCGCCATCTCTGCCCGTCTTCTGCTCCACTGACGATGTCCTCAAAGCTATCTCATTATGGGATGATACATGGATGTAACAGAAAGCTGAGAGGAAGGCTTGACACACAACAGGGGCATGACTGAGCACCGGGCAGAGTCAAGAGAAGTGAAAGCCACGTGCTGCTGCTTCAGGGTCTTGGCATATACAGCAAGGCCCAAAGAGTAACAAGGTAGTACTAAGCAGGAGGTAAGCTTATTTATTTATTTATATAAAATGTCTATCTTGCCTTTTTGCCTTTCAAAGAATTGAAGGTGGCTTACATAATTCCTCTCCACTCAATCTTATCCTCACAGCAACAGCCCTGTGTGGTAGGTTAGGCTGAGAGTCTGTGACTTATGCCATGCCCCACCACAAATATTCAATGTTAATAATGTTATTTACTGCCTTGGCCAAAGATCATAATAAAACAATAAACACAAATTTAAAACTACAGCATCAAACTACTTTAAAAAAAAGCATTCTATCAATAAAGTGTGATGTTGGGTCATAGTGTTTTAAAAGGGGCCAATATATATTTGCATTTCTAAAGGGTTCTATAGTCTATTGTCTTTCCTTCACTGCCCTTGTTCAGAATACTTTCATCATTGTACAAAAGAAACACACACAAGTTAGCATATGTATGGGTAAACACTAGCAACAGTATTTTCTCAAGTGTAATGCAAGATAGGAAAACACTTTTTTTCATAACATCCTTTATCTTGTTACAGGACCAGTGTCCATGGAGATTAATATGTAATTTAATTTTGGAGCACTCCATTTTAGTAATAAATGACACGTTACATGTTTTAGTCTGTCTCATTTTTCATTTTCTTAAGCCAAGCAGAAGACACCTGTAAAGCTTGCCTGCGTAATATATAAAAGGACAAAATATAGATGGGTGGTTTATTTTTGGCTTCAACTTGGAAAACAAAGAGGGGAGGGGAAGATTCCTGGGCTGGGGGATGTTGGCTTTTGCCCCTGAGTTTATCAGGCAGACATTCAGCACAGGTGCTTACACTAGTGAAAATGTGCTTCCAGGTAAGGCGCAGGTTCAAAACACAGCTGCCCTCTCGGCTGCTCAAAATAGATCTAACCTGCATATGGAAGAGGAAAAACAGCAAAAGTAGAAGCCTGGATCCAACTCTATTGTGGAACACAATGGAGAGCATAAACAAATCAGAGCACCAGTCCCACTTCAGAACTACTGCTGCCAAACAGAAAAAGGAGTCTCATTTTGCTTCTCCAGTTTTGCTCTTGCCTCTGCAGCAGCAGCCGATTCTATTCAGCCTGCACAGCTTTGAGTTATGACTCATCCAAGTGCACCTGCTCCATGTGTTAAGGATGCTGAATAAAAACCCAACACCTCCATTTACACAACAAAGAAGCATGTTCTCCCATCTCTCCCCCCTTCTTGTTTGCATTGAGAGGGAGGGAGGGACGGCTGGAGAATCCTGCCTTCATCAGATGCAGATTTTAACAGCAGATTCATTTATAAAACCATTTTCCTGCTTTAAGAAATAAGATACTTTTAATACCACAGAACAACGCCAAAGCATTTGATTATCATAGTTGCTAACAATTTTTCTACCAATCCCCTCCAACCCTTTTTCATCAAAACCTTTATCCTCCAAGGATAAATTTCTGAGCAAAAGGGACCAACAAACGTCTTCGCAATGCTGTGCTCCAGTCAGAAAATGCCTAATGAAAGCTTAAAAATCCACCAGGGCTACACAATGAACATCTGACTTGGTGATTTATGCATATTAATAACTTCAGTCCTATTGAGACAAGCTGAGCTGTACATGTCCTACGAATCTTAATGTCTTCAGCTCCACTGGGATTATTACTGATGTAAATTTCTACAATTCTTAGCTATTAATCTCTGTCTGTCCTCCTGTTCAGCAACATAATGACTAATTAAACATCAAAATACATGAACAGGAGATAGTTCCTGGGCCACCTCTCTTCCCATGAGAAAAATTCAGATGATAGGGACAAGCAGGTAAAAGTCTGTGAACATTCTACAAATCACCGCAATCAGATCTAAAAATACACAGCAAAGGTGTAACCTCAAAGACCAGCAGCATACCACTCATGCCCATTCTGAAGGCCACATTTACACTTTTGTTAACTTGAGAAGTGCAGGTGTCTTAGCAGGTCTTTCTCCCCCCCCCACCCCCGCACATCCCTCTGGCGATCTCCAGACATGCTGGAAGGCATACTTGATGTGCTCCCTGGGAATGAGAGAGGGTGTAGTCCAACACATGGGAAGGACATCAGGTTGGGGAAAACTACACTAAGTTAACCACAGCAGTGTGTGTGTGTTGCTGCTGCTGCTTTAATTGTTACGCTGCATTTGTATCTGCCTTTCTTCCTCTAACAAGGAATGCGAGGCAGCTTTCAAGGTTCTGCTCCTCTCCTTTTTATCCTCGCAACAAGCACCCTGTGAGGCGGGTGAGGCTGAGAGTCTGTGACTAGCCAAAAGAGGATATGAGCCCATGGCTGAGTGGGGACTAGGGCCCAGATGTCCCAAATCCTAATCCAGCACTCTTGACCGTCATGCAGCTCCGTTACCATTTTAATTTTGCATCTTTTTTATATGCGTTATTTTAACGGCTTTCTACTCTCCACAGCCTAGAGAGCCTGTACTTTCTTAGCATGAGCAAAAGTTTCCCTGAAGCCCACTGAGCATCCCTACTTTTCACTCTGGACCTGAACCTGGTGGATACGCCCCACCTTTTTCTTCTGCATGTGCAGCACCACAGTCTGCATCCCCGCTGCAGTTGCTGCCCTCCTCTTCTGTTTTCCCACAAAGCCTACTTTGTCTCTCTGCACCATCTATCAAACCTTCCTTCTTGTTTTTGCCTTCGCCTTCACAGGTTTCCATGCATCCGCCTTTTCCAGCTCCCCATTTCTCATCACTTTTCTCACGTAATCTCTCTCTTACTGTCTCTCTACCTCCTCCTCCATGTCTCCGGCAGCAGCAACAACAAACAAAGCGTTCCCTCTCCTGGCAATTCACATAGCAAAGAACACTTGGTAAAGTGGGCTCTGCAAAAGGCTGGAGCAGGTGCCTCCAGTTCAACTGTGCTCACCTCCAGAAAGAGAAGGAGCAGTGCAGACGGTGATGCAGGCCTCCTTCCACTGGAATCCCCATTTCTGACAGGGGGTGGGGGTGAGGAATGGAAACAAAGGGTACTTCAAATAGTCACAGAGATGGCCACAGCGGACTGCTAAGCTTTCTGAGGTGCAAACCTGAGTCAGGCATTAGAGGTCGCTACTGATCAGCTAGGCTTTTCCAACACAATATATGAAAGTTAATAACCAACAGCTACTAGACAGACTGTATATGAAGAAGCACTTCCATTTTGCTTTACTAAAAGTTTTACAAAACAATACTTACAGAAGAAGGCAAGCCAGGGGGTACCTTCCTTATTTTCTTTGTCTGCAGTGAATCTGCACAGAAAAGACACATTTTATCCAGTGGTGGCATTAGTGACATTAATAGGAATAAGTATCAATGCTAAGGATGTGCCAAGCACTGCAAATATACTTTAGATTCTCAGGATGGTAGAAAGTGTTATAACAAAACTTTTGCCCAACTATTTCTACATCAAGGCATATCAGCATGGTAAAGAATACTCCCTATTAAAATACCCTTAAGATTCATAAATCAGCGCATATATTATTTTTTATTATGATGAAATTTGTATGTGGTCTGATTCAGCAGCCTGGTCCAACAAACTCCGCCAAAAGGATTCACCAAAGGAAATGTGACGTCTGAAATGCACCACGGCACAAGCAGTGCTTCACAAAAGGGGGAAAGGCTCCTCTATGCTGCTTGTTACTGGAACGGTCATATTGACTGTGTGAACAACCATTGCCAAAAAAGTTTTATTACATCAAACAGAAACAAAAATAAAGAATGGGAGGTTCATGCAATATTAGTTTTGGTTCTCATTTGGGTCTTTGGATCGGTGTCCTGGCGAAGAATTGTTTCTCCTTCATGTATTACTTGAGGGATTCTCAGTAAACATGTTATCTAGTTCTGTTCTCAGGTATACTCAACGCTTAAACAGTTTGCACTGTGACAGAATTCAGCAGAGTACATAAGGTACCTTGTCTGCTGTCCACCTCTCCTGTTCCCTTCATTGTCAAACTTTCATATGAGCCCAAGCCTCAGAAATTAAGCATAAGATGAATCCATGGATAAATGACCTCTACTATTAGGCACAGTTCTTGAGGAAAATATCTTGAGGTAGAGATGAAAAAGAATACGACTGAAATGTATAAAAACATGGGATATGCGAAAAGCAGCAACAGTGTCGATGCCACCTGGGCACTTACCAAGAGAAGACGACTCATGAAGTGCTCTTCGGCGTGGATTTGTTGTAGAAAATGGATAATATGGTGTACCAGCTTTTCCTGAGGACGACACTGCACCTGGACTTCCAAGTCCAATATCTGACCGAAGCAGAGCAGACTGTAAAATCAACAGAATAGTATCCTTTAGGCTGCAATTTAATTAATGCTTACCCATTGAATTCCATGGGACTTACTTCCCAGTAGTTATGTGTAGGATTGCACTATTAGAGTTTTAAAGCTTCTCTTTCTCTTTGCCCAAGCTAAGTCCCAAAGAGCATGGATTATAAATAATCAGTGGCTGGTACTTAAAGTTACAGCCATGCAATTAACTTCAATCCCAGGTTACTAAAGGAACACTGGTTTTACAAAATGGATTACTTAACAATTAGTGTGATAACCATTAGCAGTAAAGCCAGACAGATTTTCAGCTTAGTTTTCCAGAAGACAACACAAGTTTCAAGTATGTGTTCGCTTTCATTGTTAAAAGCATACCAACAAACACAGCATATGAATGAAGCAAATAAAGAACGTAATCAGTGAGACATAAATTGGGGAAAGTTCACAGAGCAGTGCCAGAAGAGGCCTGTGCCTCCCCATAAGTAAACCCCATTCCATCTAATTGGGGTAGAACAGAAAGTTGGGCTTCCTGTGAAGCATTCCTCTAGTCAGTAGCGTGGGGAGCAGAGAGCAGAGAGCTACCTCCTTTTCGAACAGACAGGGTCAAATCCAGGGAAAAAAAGGCACCTAGGACTTGACTTCAACATGCAGCTTGCGATGGCATTAATGACCTCTAACAGGAAGAAACAACAGTTATGAAAAAATAGAGGAGCAGAGAAGTCAGATTCCAGGGTGCCCTTAACTACTGGAGGCCTATCCACCCTCCACAAACTGTTGAATTTACAGCTGCACAGAGTGTGCTTTCCAATCCTGCCCTGCTGTTTTGGGCCCTGTCTTCTTCTGGATGACCTAACCCTTTGCCATCTGCCCTACTCCCTTGCTCACTAAAAACACATGGTGATGGGAAAGGCTCCTGGCTTGAGACTGTGACTAATCATAGCAGGTCATCTGAATGATGGATGGACCAACAATCCAACTCAGTAGAAGGCACCTTCGTGTGGTCACATGTATTCAATACAAGTATCTCACTTCATATCAAGGCAGAATCCAGAGTGCTAAACAATAAAAAGCTAAAGTACTGTTCAAAAGTGCTGAACTGGAAATATGGCTTAATGATCCAGAGAATTCTCAGATACAGAGGCTTCCTTGTGACCATGGAGTACAGTTCTGTTAGTTTTTACAAGATAATCACAGTTCAGAGGCAGTGCCAGATATGGAAGGTCCATGGGACAAAAAATACAAAAAAGAGTATTTGAATATACTAATTTACATATATGCTATAAATGTTGTGTATGTGTATCTTTGTTTATTATTGAATTTATACTCTGCTTAATCAATAGTCCAGCAGGGCTCTCTGAGCTATTTAAGGTAGCCTGTCTCCTAAAGACTCCCCCCACACTGCCCCATTTGTGGAAAGGAGTATGGATAGAGGAGCGAAAGCAAGGGTGGAATTCAATCACAGACACAAATCCTGGTATAGAAATCTATCCCTTTTACTAATGTGATAAGTGGAACCCATTAGCAATCAATAATTATGTCTGTGTAGTGATGGAAAGTAAATCACCCATGACTAGTCAACTGCAGCCCTTCAACTGGCCAGTTTGCCTGGAAGACGCTTTTGTTCGATGGGCAAAACAGCTCATCTAGTGAAATTCAGGGTGCAAGGGCAGGGAGAAAAGATCGCCTTGCCCACTCCCCCATCATGCGGTTCGGGAGTTGATCATCACCATGCGAGGCCAGTGCCCTTGCACAGCACCAAGGCAGCTTCCTAGGCTCCTAATGGAGACTGGCACGTTGCGCTAGTTTAAAAGGGATCTCTGAACATCTCAGTTATTCATTTATATTGCTGACTCCTGAAAAGTTCTACCCAAGTTTATTTGAACTGTTACCATTTGCCAAAATAAAATCAATACAGACGTAATTAACTCATCACATTGATTTTCCTGCCCAGCAGAACCAACAGAAAAGCAATATTAAGATCTATCCTGTCCTGAGGGTATCAGATGGAGACAGAATACTCTCATCCCGAGGGTGATAATGACAGAAGAAAAGCTTTGCATTATCAATGTGATGGTCACTCTTGACCAACTAAGTGCATGACGTCCCTTCACAAATATCAGCCTACCAGCATAATATGCATAGACTGAACTGAAGTCTTCTAGGATGCTGAAACCTCATCTGCTAAACCTACATCCAATTACTAAAAGAGAATCAATGGCGAGTTATCCTTCTGCCATACTGGCCAATGCTGCCTGGATTATGGTCCTCACTAATAAACGCACACTGCTTACGCTAACTCAACCGGAATGACATGGGACAAAATATACTGTCCTAGCTGATCCATAAAGAACTTGCAGCAGCAAATCAAAGAAAGAAGTCAGTGACCACAGAATTAATGCACTCTTTACACTGCTTGGGACCACAATACTTGACGGAGCACCTCTCCCAACTGCAACCTATCTGGATGCTCTGTACACCTCTGGCCTTACTTCAGGTGCCAACTCAGCAGAGGTTTAGAGGACAGCAACACAGGAGAGGGCTTCCTCTGTGGTGGCTCCCTATTTATGGAAGGACTTCCCTGCTGCAGCCCAAGTGGAACCAACCTTGTCATCTTTTTAGCACCAGTTTAAGATGGCTTTTTATGAAGAGGCTTTTAAAGATATACTGGAACATCCAGGGGCTTTTAGGGATCACCATTCTAGGTGTTTTACTTTTAGGAGGTTATTCTATACTGTATGTTTTAGTTGTTTTTAATTTTTTGTGTTTTATGAATAAGACTGAATGGCACTTGTACTGTACTGTACTATACTGTATTGTATTGTTTTTATGTACCGCTGTAAACCACCCAGAAAGCTTTGACTATTAGGTGGTACAGAAATGAAATTCTTTATCACCACCACCACCACCATGTAGGATCAGAGAATACTTGAAATTCCCAGGCACAGCTTTCATTGTCGTAAGACATCTGTTCAATTAAAAAGACAGCTCAACCCAGTTTGTTGACTAAAGACCCAGTTTGCACAACACACAAACCCACAGTGGCGTATAGTCAGCCACAAGAAGTCTGAGTGACTCTCTTACTGGGACATGGACCATACTAGGTCAAGTACACTGCCCGCCATTGGGGTGTTAAACAGCCCCCTTCAATGTCACTTTTCCATGCTGGCCTTGGTGAGGTGTAGAGAAGGACTGACTGTGCAGGACCATAATGTTTCTGCCTGCCTTTTGCATAATGCAAGTGTTTCCATTCACTGAGCTGCACTGGAGAGAGAGGCTGCTCTTTCTAAGCAAGGGGTGGAATGTGTTTCTGGGGGGGGGGGGGGGGGCACTTAATGGGTTGCTAGTGACAAAGGATATAGAGTACCTTTTAATTTAAAAAACAGATTGGTTCTGCTTTAAAATGTGACTTGAATAAGACATTTGGCATTAAAATTTACACTGCCCAGACAGACTATTGGATTCGGCTTTATAAATCAAATAAAATCAAATAAATACATAAATAAGTCCAACTACAAGTGAGCCTCTTGACAAAAGCCCCTTGCGGCTCCTGCCAAGTGGCTAGCAGGTGACCATCAGTGTCAGCCTACCCTACAGTGCCCAAGGGACACCTGGGGGCAGCCGGCAAAGGGGTCCTGCTATACTTAACTAACTCCGCAGCAATCTCTGATTTAAGCATGTTTTTATTAAGAGGAGTATTTCAATGGAGGAGAGAGGAGGCCTAGGCAAATCTGAGAACTGCAAATGTGATCTGACCAAAAGCAGTTAGGATAGAGAGGTTAAATAAAAGTATACCATCTCTTGCTGGGAGGCAAGGTGTGCCAAGCATTGACTGAACTGTTTAGCCATGGAGATTTTTAGTGCAGATCTCAGCTGATTCTGTCCTCCTGGGAACAGTTTCCCTCTCGCCAGTGATAGATCTAAAATCTCACTCAAGTCCCCACCCACAATCAAATAATAATGAGCAATATCAACCTATTTACTGCAACATTCATGAAACTGCAGAACTCATCATTAGGCCCATACACTTTAATCATGACTAACTTACCAATACTTTTCCTAACCAAAATCAAAAAATGGCTATCAGAATCAACAGCCACTTGTGGAACTAAAAAGCTGCATATGGATTAAGTGAGGACTCCTTTAAACTACACTGAAATACCTGTTACTGTGACCCAATTCCTTCTGAAAGAATGCTTGTTCACTGCCATCAAGTGGACAAGCATTTCTGGTAAAGTGATTTCCAGTAAAGGAAATCAAGTGATTTCTGGTAAAGGCCACATTTGCATTAAGCACTTTTAATCTGGGGAGGACTCTCTCCCGTTTTTCAGTGCAATTTTTCTGTTTACAAGTATGCACTTGTGAGAAACAGAAAAATAAAAATTTTAGCAATAAATATACTCCCACCCACCCCAGTAGCTCTGTCCTAGTCAGTTGCCTTTTTTGGAGTCTAGAGACAAAGGGAATCACTGAAATGGAAGGGGGGACAGACTGACAGGTGCCAACTCAATTTAGGGAGAGGATGAAGTTGACACATACAAGTTCACTTGCTCCCACTGCCTGACAGCTATCCCCTTTCAGAGCAATTGTTTTGTTGACCACTATCCCTGCCAGAGCTTCAGAAATATGCAAAATAATTCTTAATTTCCCCCGACCATCACAAGTACACAATGTGCAGATTCACCAGCTCACTATGTACAGTCTATGGCAGTAGGCGCCCCTTGTCAGTCTGTTTGCAAATTGCCTACTCCACTGTTTGCTTTCAGAGTTTGCTGAAAGTGGAAGTGCTGAAGTAAGACAGGTGGTTACAAGGAAACTGACAGGGTGAATATGCTAATGAAGATGGTACATATTACATATTAGACAGGTAAACCTGTGCACTTGTAAAGAACTGTGGTAGAAAAAAATTACGAACATATTTACATACTTCTGAAGTACCAACATTTTTTTTTATAAAGTGCCAAACATTCAGCACCTTCCCATGCATCATTCTGTCCCAGGGGAGAAGCAGGCATCCTTGTTGAGCGAAGGTTAGAGGCAGCACTCATGAGATTGCGAAGAACGGCCAGTTTTTTCACCACTGTTGTCAGGCTTTTGGGAGCAGCTTGGGAAAAACATCAGGCCAGGTTTGCTTGTTGCAACAGGCTGACTGAGAACAGACCATACTCTCAGAATGGCTTGTGCATGGTTAACAAGCTGCACTGAATTGTTTGCACCAGGCTCAAGCATCATGGCAAGTGATGCTGACACTAAAAAACCACGGTGACTTATTGTGTTGCACAAATCTAGTCAGCATGTCTAGGGAGAGCCTGCCAAATCGTCTGGAGCACAGATGATAGTGGTGATGACAACAATGATTTAGATTTTTAGCCTGCTTTTCAGTGTAAAAACTCTCAAAGCAGATTATAGTGTCTATTAAAAAGTAAGCCATAAAAATACACAAATCATTCAAAGAGTAAGGCAGCAATGAGGGACTGCATACATGCAGGTGTTTGTCTCCTTAGTTATACTTGACTGAAGTCACTGGCATCAGTTAATGAACAATGCAGATTTTTGCTTCCCTCCACATTGTTGTAACTGCTTCAAAGGGTGTTCATCACATGTTTGGCATATGGAAGGTCCTCAGTTAAACTACAAAATGTGCTTCCGTAAAATGAAGTGATGCCCACCAACTTGGATGGCTTTTAAAGGATGAGAAAAAATCATGGCCAATGATGGCTCCCCGTATGGTTCTGTGCCAGCTCCAGTGTCAGCAGGATGCCTATGCGCTTCAGCTGTAGGGGAATTCAAGTGGGAGGGCATTGCTGCACTCAGGACCTTCTGGGAAGCTTCCACACTGGGGCATCTGGCTGGCCACTGGGAGAACAGAAAGTTAGGATACTAAGCTGAAATTATATGCCGAAAGGAAAGTCTCTGTCAGCTTCCATAAGGAAGTGTAATGACGATGGGCTTCATCAGCATGTACTGGCAGGGTCATTTTGACAATCTTTACAAATATGGGGTGGGGGAGAAATTCCCACCGAAGCTCTTCCTGACTGCAGGCTCCATGCAGGTGCAAAGGCCACATGTGTGATGTCCAGAGACCATGAGTGGTTGCTATCTGGTGTTTTTTTGGGTAGACACACCACTTCCCAGTCATAGCTACACTAAAATCCTGGCTTCCTGAATCGTTTTAATGGAGCAGCAATCACTTCCAAGGGAAGACATTTGACAAACAGCTTTAAAAGGAACCAAGAAATTCCTCCTCTAGACAGTGTATATGTCAATGACCACTTCTTATTCACTGACTAAAAATGGTGAAAGGTAGGAGCAGGTGCGTTTCTACAAACTAAGTAAGTAGAATGATAGCTGCACATTTTGCTTTGCGCCTCAGGTTGCACCAAGAGATTTCTGTTTTTAAGTGGAAGTGCTGATCTGGAGATTAGGGGTATCTGGTGGTCCCCTCATCGACCACCCTGCAGATGCCTCATTGGAATCTGCAGTTTCTAGAACCAGCCACAACGGGGAGCCAATTGGACTGCCACAAAAATAAACACATCTCAGAACAAGAGGGGGTTTAGATTCAGATACTGAACAACGACCACACAAAATGCTTGCAACCAACTAACGAAGAAAGTTGGGTAAAAAGGGAAGCTACTGAGTAAATCAAAGCCTGTTTGGGGTTGTGCACTCACATTCAAGGATATCTGCATATGCCTCCATACAGCATCTGGCTTTGGGCACGTGGATGGTAAACTCTCAGTCACATACTGGGGCTCTTGCAGAATTGCACCGTATGTTCAAAAGGGCTAGGGAAAATGCCACTTAACTCACAACAGAGTCAGGTATCGGCCAGTTAAGTCTGCATCCCCACTCGATAACCATGAATTAATGATGCATGAAGGTGGCCAATGTGCCTTTGAGGGCACAAGCACCCTACTCCCAGCCAATTGGGTGAGTGTGGCTGCTGCATCTGGCTGGGCCACAACCTGGAAAGTTGCTGCCCAATATATATTTTTTGAAAAACCTTTAGGAGGAATCTAGGCACATATTAAAATCAAATATCCATCCGAAAGTATTTATTGATACTTTACCATTATGTGAACAATTATCCGCAGAAAGTTTTTAGAATTGACTTTTGGATTAACCAAACCATGATGAGTTGCATTCGAGTTTTCTCCCACCACACCTAAGAGCAGCTCAACCTTGGTGCCATCTCCCTGTAATCCCTGTAAGGTTTCCATGTTCTAAATATCATCCTCAGACTCTTTTTGCATTACATAGTATTCAACAGTGGCAAATACTAAGGTTTACATCCCATCCCTAGTTATATCTAAAAGCTGGGAAATGATGTTTTATTCATTTTCTGTGGTTTACAGGGAAAGTGACAGCAAATGCTAATTTTCCCATGTTTGCCTCTACTTATCTCTGTGTTAGGCTTGTTAGAAATATAGTACTAACATTTGTGTGTGCCACACCTCTAAGGAAAAGTCTCTTCAGTCCCTTGTGGTTTTTGTCCCCAAAACTAGATTTAAATGTTTACCTGACAGCCTGAAAGTCCTGGATCTCGACCAAACAATGGAAATGGACTTCTTTCTGATGTCTTCCCTATAAAATAAATTTTAAATTTTAAAAAATGAAAATGTATCTACTCAACAGAAATGTTAAGAACTTAATAACTAGAGATCTTAAAGATAGAACAAGATACTATAAAAAGTATATAAAAGCAAATTAGTCCAGATGTTTGATATTTAAAACAGTTCACATTTTAAGAGAAACAGAAACTACACATATTGGTTACTTACTTTGTTAAAGTAAAAATAAAAAACCTCAAAAGGGTTTTTAACATGTTTGATCCCTGTGCAATGAAACAGTACAGGCTTCTGATGTCTTATAAGATCATTTTTGCTGTTTCAATTATCAAGTAAATCTTGTTTAAAATCATATTTCACTATCACTTGCTTGGGAGACTGAAACAGCTTTGTTGAAAAGCAAAAGAAAAGTTAAAAATTTTCTGCTCAAGCAGTCTGCTCCTAACAACATCAGAGGCCAAGCAAATAAAATACCTAACATGCAAAATTGTTTGAAACAGCATGAATCATGCTGCTCACGTTAAGTAGACTCAGCATTTTCTTTCTTGTAAATAAGAAACCTTATACCAAACAATATACAACTTTGACTAAAGTGTGCAATATTCCAGGCAGGTTTTAAGACAAATATTTGAACAAGAGTACATTACAAAGTCTGGGAAAATTACTTTGACAGAGGAGAACCTGACACTTGCATCTCTCAAATGCTGAAGTACACCTTCTCCACATACATTTACGAAAAGTACTGTCCTCTACAGATTGCCATGGTTGTACAGTCCACTGGCTCAGAGCATTCACAACTATACACATTATCCTACTTTGCGAGTGTGCATGGCAATGCAAATGATGTTTTAAAATCCCCTCTGTAAACAGGGACTGAATTTGTTCAGGTGTCCCAAACAGATCACTGCTAGCCTCATGCCTCAGAATAATGGCCTCTTAAGAGACTAATATTCTGTGTTTCCATAACCAACATGGCAATGCAGTTCAGGCTTCTGCTTTAAAATGCAGGCTAGTAATTTTGTGTGCTTATATATAATGCTACTTCTATCACTTGATTTTCTACTCAGAACAGTCTCATCTGGCTGTGAAACAAGCCACCAACCTGAGCTCCATTTCAGAAAAAGCCACAGTAGTCACATGCCCTTTGTCACCAGCTACCAGAGGAAGGATGTGTTGGGGAAACAAGTACGGGGAAGACAGATGGCAATTTTAATCCACTGCCATTACATTTACTATTTTGCAGTGATGTGATTTTATTGTATCATTTGATCACAGGTTGCTACCTTAGGTGTTTGAAACATAAAAGGGGGGATACATACCCAGACAAAAACCAATAAGCAGGATTGCCAAAAAAAAAAAAAAAAAAAGTTACCAAGTGGAGAGCTCCTTGTTCAGGACCCCAGTCACTCACTCCCCCTCCCCCATCTCCCGCTTCCCCTCCCCACCCGCAGCCAGTCTGCCCCTCTGGGATTATTTTCTAAAGATGGGGTGTGCATCATACTGCAGGGTTTTCCCAGCCTGATACTTCTCCCTTGTGGAGGTGGTGCTACTTTAGCTATTTATGGGCTGGTTCTTGGGGAACTGATACCACTATTTAGTGGATGATAATCACCCATGTACATCTGATTAAGATAATTTCAAAATGTGGGGTCTCGTATAGCTTTCCAGTTTTAGCATCTTCAGGTCAGCAGTACCAAACGCAGTACATCACCTGGCATTAAACTTTATGGAGGAAGCTTCTAACTTGATGCTTTCACTCGGAGCCCTACACTGAGCAGGGGGCTGGACCCACCTGCCTTATTGGACCCTTCTAATTCTATGTGTGTTTCATTCTATGGAAAGGGCTTCTGCCACTTTGCAAGTAAAGACAACATGCTGTATCTCCATGAGAAATTCCTGAAAGAGATCAAAAGGACCCCAAGTCTCGCTTGGAAATTGATGCAAGCCCTTTTCTCTCAACAGAGAAATTAATCATGGTTGAGTTACACAATCCAGTTCCACAAGTTCAGCTTCTGAATACTAAGGACCTACTCAATTGCAGTTAATCACTTTATTTGATTTGATTCAATTTATTACATTTGTATTATTTAGTATTTTTCTACCTTCTAAGATGGCTTGAGGAAATCTATGCCTCTCCATCCTGCCCTTCTAACAATAAAAGTATGCCTCAGTTCCCGCCACCATCCATGCCACTTGATAGACTGAAAATACCTCTAATGAACTAGAAAAACTTCCGATTTTGCATGTCACCCTTATCTGACAGCATTCGGGCATCAGATGTAAGCAGCCTGCTTCTATTTTTGCCATCCTGGTCAACTGGTGCCACTTGCACACCAGGTTTCCTCACTGGCCCCTCCATTAATACATATTAATACATTCATACTACTATGTTTTGAAAGAGAGCACGCAGACTAGCAGGAGCTGTGTAAATATTTGTTGAAGACGCATTCAAAGCTACTGCACAGGCAGTGACGCAAGGGTCAGTGTCAGGAGGCAAACCAGGGGGCACCTTTGTTCTAGATGTGCAGCCCAGTTCTTCAAAGCTGCATATTTCGGTACTGCACAGTGCTGGGAACATTGTCACACTGCCGACATTGAGCATGCCCCTGAGAGCACAGCGACCTTGGCCTTGTCCAGTGTGCAATGGGCAAGATTCATTCCTTCCCAACATGCCCTGCTGGCATGAATGAGAGCCCCCTGCACTGTCTAGTAAACTACTGTGTTATTGATTGTACAATCTTTTAAATTCAATGGAAATTCAAATAACAGAAAGTTGGTATGCTCTTTCTTGGACATCTGCACACTTCCCCAAATAAAATGGAAGGGATTGTAAGTAGAATTCAAGAATTATAAAAGACAATTGTTGATTGCAAAGCCAATATAGAGCAGAAGTTTCTATTCAACTTTAGAGAGCTTAACAGCTCCAGAAGAAGAAAGCAATATAAAGACACGTTCCATGCACTACCTACTCCTTCCATTTCTGGCCAGGGCGGCTTATTTTATATTGTATTTTTGTATTTTTAATTTAATGTTTATATTTATTGTAATTTATATTATAATTACTTTTAATTTATTGTTGTAAGCCGCCCCAAGGCTTCGGCGAATGGGGTGGCATAAAAATGTTTAAATAAATAAATAAATAAATAAATAAAGCATGTTGCATGAACAAAGGTATAGGAGAATCTTTTGCAAATCTCGATTATTGAAAGACTCATTAAGTTCTATGGCAACCTTATATTTAAATCCCGCCTGACAGCCACAAGGGAAAAGGGATTCTATCCAATTAAGTGAGCAGTGGCAGATCAGCTCATTCCCCCTCTGTGTGGTGGGGACACAGACACCAAGTGTGGTGCAAGATGAAGAAAAGCCCTCCTGTAAGACTCGCGTGGAGATGCAGTGGGCTCCTGGATGGGGGACAGAGCTCTTGATCATTCCTTCAACAAGCTAGTAAACATCTTTGCAAGATTGTTCTGTGTGGCAAGATCAACAGGCCCATATCAGAAGATTTGGGGAATCTACTCACTCTTAAAAAGAACCTTGAACAATCAGGAACATCTTTATTCCCACTTGATCCCTAAACAGACTTCTGGGAACCAAGTCCAAATCCATTGATTAATCATTACTATGTAGTTTGCTATTAATTGTGAATTCCATGGATAAACAGGACGAACCAAATGTTTCTGCTCTGTAGCAAGCTCTTTAGTATGTGCTTATTGCTGGACAGGTCCTTCCTCCTAATGGAAAATGACAGAGAATATCAGGATCCTCTTACCTCAGTCATACCAATCGTTTGCTAGGAGTCTTAGTTTCCTCCATCTAGCTGCATGCTTCCAGACAGTGCCTTGGTTAATACAGCTACTCAGTGTTATAGTTTCCTTACAGACAGTTCAAGGGCCAAACTGTCCAAATCCAACTGAGACTAAATAAGGAGGGGATCAGAGTTCACTAAAGACATGTAAAATGAAGAAGAGACTTTGCTTTGGTGATTTTGTGCTTTTTGACAGCTATTAATGTCAGTCTTCTGTTGCAGAGTATAGCAGTTCAATCTGATAGAGAACCAGAAAAATAGAAAATCTGCACTAGATCGCCTCTTCTAAAAGAGAACACAGCTGGGGACTTTGTCCAGGACTGCAACTGAAATGGGCCACTGAGAAACAAGACAGAGATAGCAACATCCTCAGGGTAAACACAAGGTTTGAAAAAGTATCCAAAAAGTATTCAGGAAAAAACCAGCCAAACAAGGACTGAGGGAGCCCAATGACCACCAAATACTGACTCTTGGAGGCAAGAAGCAGGAAAGCAGGTGGTATAGAACTAAGTTTCTGGTGAAAGGGCTGGCTTCCTAGAACCCTGAAGAGAAGCAATCCACATGATAACATTTGCAAATCCCTTGCCCTCTCCTAGATCTCTCTTTTCAGGCCTGTTTCCTGCTCCTGGGCTCTTTTGTTGTGTAAGCAGGGAGAGAGAATTCATTTCAATTTCCCTGAGGTGTATGAGATGCTGAAAAACCACAGACTGCTTGTGGTACGGTTCGAGGAAAAAATGAAGGCTGTTTTTTGACAAGGCTTTTAATGTACAATTGCACTGCTTCATTCACAGAAACTTACAGGGGTCTAGATGATGTTGTTATCCACTTGTAACTTCCCTGTGTCTTTCTATCACATTTTCTTACCATAGAATATTAATAAAAATAAAGGATGGAATAGCTCTGCAATGCCTTTCAGAGTTAATGCCAGGCCTGGAAGCAGACCCACCAAAAGACAACGGGTGTGGTGACTTTACATTTCCTTAATCCTGGCAGTTTAAAATTTGAACAGCCTCATTTTTCTAGTCAGCATACTGAGAATGCTATGCATACAAAACTCACACTAGTACTATCGGGTAAGACAATAAAAGCCAAGTGACTCTTATTATAGCAATGCCATTCCTTTGTTTTTATTTCTGCTTAATGTTGCAGCTTAAAAACAACTGCTCCTTCTCCAATGGATAAATATTTCAAAAGATTTGTTGTGCTGT